GCTGGAATTACTGCAACTGGGAGGTGGCAAACAGGGCCACTGAAAAAAAATGGTGAAAATGGATGAAAAGATGGGCAAAGATTGTAAGATGTAAAAGGAGAAGCTGGAGGAGGAAGGGATGAACATGAAGATGGATTTGAAATAAATGGGTAGGGACAGTGCTTGTTAAGCTAACTAGATTTATTTCTCTGCCCAGAAATTCTTATGTCCTTACAAGACAGCATTGAAGCAAGGTCTTTAATTTTACTTTTCCTGGGTTTATTACTTGGGCCTTAATGTTATTTAACAGCAGTGAGCATCAACCAGTTTCATTGCAAAGCTGGACTTAATTCAAAATCGTTAAATCTGGTGGAAGCATTTTCCTCTTGACAAAGACATCCTGAAGAAGCTGGTGCTTCTCTGACAAAACATGGAAGTCGTGCACCCTAGGAGAATGGACACCACTGAAATACTGATGGATAGAGCAGGGACGGGGAGACAGCATTCCTCCATCCCTCCTCCTGATGAGAAGAAGAGGAGAAAGCAGAACCGAAAACAGCCAAACATCATGACGCTGAGCACTATTCGGACTCCCCAGCACAGCACTGTGCAGGGAGGCAAGGGAGCCCATCGCTCTGGGATTTTCTTTTAGGCTTATCTTGAAAAGCAGATACATGTTTTACTGCGCTCTGCTTTGCCAAAATGGTGCAAGCTCTAAACAAGCCTCAGAGCTGGGTAACATGAATAATGGTGATTGGGATGTTCATGATGCACACTGTCATAGTTTAAGGGGTTTAATCTCATGGGAAGTGGTTAAGACAAGCAATACCCTGGTGCAAGCCATTTCTAGGAAACTCTTGAGTGCTGCTACAAGATGATGCTTGAGTTATTACCTGTGATGAGTTTACTCCCAAGTCTTTACCAAGACCTGTAACATTTGTTTTATCACTCAGGGCCAAAAGAGGGAACAGCGAGATCCCAGTAGTGCTGGGCTTGTTGGAAGAGGCTGTTCTGAGGACTGCCCTGTGTCCTGCTAGGACACGTGGCAAATGCAAGCTTGGACCATCAGTTTGAAATCCTGTCCCCGGCTACCCAGTTTGAACAGCACATGGGTTTTTAAAGGACTGGCCAAAACACCACAAACGTCTCAATGCAGCTGCACAAGCGACTTTCCTTCTGGCTCCCCAATTTGGCCATGCCAAAATCTCACCTTTTGTGCTTTCTGCCCTCTCCCCATGAAATACAAACTGCTTCCCTTTGTCTTGAAGGTCCCACGGCTTAGTTTCTCTCCATCCTCACCTCTAATTCACCCCTAAGCATACAGGGAGCATTTGGGATAAAGCTTCAAGAATACGTTCAACATAAATTATTATTCCCCTTCTAAACGGATTACAAAAGTCCTTTTATTACAAAATATTAAAATGTTCTAATTATTGGTGTGGAAAAACGTTTCCTGGAGGTAAAGTTTTTAAAAATTGAGGTTTTAATCACAAGCATAATCCTTTCTGGCTAACGTTTCCAGTCTTGTGAAACATCTAGATACAAATTGCACAGAGGCCTGGCTGCGCTACGAACAAAGGAAGATGCTGCCTGTAAATAGCTCAGAGGACATCAGAAGACACTTCTCTCATCAGCAATCTTTTTTAGCTTAATATAGCTCCTCTTTGCATAAAACATTGACATTTTTGCAATGTTTGGACCCAATGGTGCGAATGCTGATTGTCATCTGAAGATACTGGAGTGTACCTTCAAAAATATGCAAGAACATTTTACAGACAGTAGTTTTACTTGCCTCCAAAATGCTGTATCTTAATATTTCATACTTATATATATTTAAATGTTAGTACCACTGGATAAACCCTAACATGCTTTTATGCTAATGCAATCACTGAAAATCCAGATAATGTTGTGTATTGGCATATACTGTTAGTGAATTATGGATACCTAAATGTACAATCCCACATGCCTAGCAATTATTTTTGTTAGTGAATTTAACTTTTATTTGCAATCAGAGCACTTGAGAATTGTTCAAATGAAGTTTACTTTTGCAAACTGCTGAATAGAAAACATTTTGTTAAAGGTTTAAAAACAGTAAGACTGTGATGAGATTTTAGAGTTGCAATAAGGGCACTGCTCAGAAAACTCTACCAGATGGAATGATGTTTGATTTGGTCACAGACTCGGTGATTAAAACCCAAATGCCTAAAATGAAGGACACATAAGAGAAACAAGAGTTGAAATCTTGATTTCTTCCATAACATGTCATCCTCTTCTATGGTAGAGGCTCACAGATAGGGGCAGATGGATGCCGGGAGGACAGCATCCATGCAGGCAGCACCCTGGCAGCTAGACCCTGGGACCCTTTGCCTTGAGGACCAAACTCTGCTGTGCTAAGGCTGCTTCTCAAGTCCAGTTTAACTCAAATAAACAGGAGCAGTACCAGAAGGGAGAAATCCTGAGCTGCCCCTGCTGTGCCTTCTCCTCCTCCTCTTTCTCCTCCTACTGCCTTTGCTGATCCAATGTCTTGGCCAGCCACCTGGCCCATTGGCTCAAGATGTAGATCCACTTGAAAACTCTTTTATCCCAAACCAGATTTCAGCACAGCCAGACCTCTGAGACGGGTTCCAGCTGGACTGTGTGCAGGCAAGACCTGGGTGATGCAGCTGGTTGCTCTATCCCTTACCTGCTTCACTACCTGATTGGTGTTAAGAACAACAAAAATCTGGAGGAGACCTGGGTAATTTTAAGAGTTGAAGAAGTTCTGGATGTGACCCAAGCACGTCTGAGACTGCTCTGTGTCCAGTGGTTTTCTCCTGCATAAAACAACTTGCCTACAGACAACACCAAACTCCCTCTTCCAGATTCAGCTGTGTCAGGAGTTAATGACCTCCCGGGCTGGGCCAAGGAACTGCTATGATCATGCCCCGATTTTCCTCTGGGAAGGTTTGCCTGGCTTGAAACCGCTGGTCTAAGCCAACCTGGCTGAAGAGACCTGGGAGGTGGCCACAGACCCATTTGGTGAGCAGCGGACCATCGCCTCTTGCCCAGGCACGGCTCAGCATCCAGCGTACAATCCAATACCAGCCCCAGGCACACAAGTACACATCAGATTGTGCCCCTACAGCACAGTGAGCTGTGGCACCTCTGGGCATTTACTGGAAAGTCCTACCACCTAACTGAGGCCCCTAGAAACAACATGAGTGAAGGAAATAAAAAACAACCCCTCAGAAAAACACAGACATCAGAAAATGCTTAGTGTGAAGTACTTGAAATGCCTGCAGCAGTTTAAATGGAGCACGGAGTAAGCTGAGAAAATGTACGAACAAACAAATTAAGCAGATAGCACAAAGCAGACGAGTTGGCATGTAGATGTCTATTGAGAAAGCTTAAGCATAGCAAGGAAAAAAAAAGCAAACCCAACATCCAGGCATAATACTCCTCGCATTTTGGAACTGAGCTCTCAGACAATACATCATCCAAACCACTCAAAATTACCATCTGTCAGAACGTTGTTTAAACAAAAAAAGGTCTAAAAGTTTCCAAAGCAGTGTTTTAATATTGTCATATTAGAAAAGAGATTGTTTCTGTCCAAAGAAAGGCATTTGCAATTAATTGAGGAATAGTAAATAAAACCACTAGTTTCGTGGCCATTGCTACACACTCATGAGACAATTAATTTCTTGAGTCTTGATCATGTCACATTAGCTAAATCAGGAAAGAGGCAATTTAATAGCCCTGGTCATTTTGCAGGTTACCTGCAAATGTTCCCAAAGCCTCTACATGATTTTCTCTTTATGAAACGTATCATTAAGAGTCTACATGCTATTAAAGAACCTGAGGAAACAATTGCAATATTGCTTCAAACATTAAGATACACCAGAATATGAAGAGTGGGTCTGTGTTTCTGATGTGAAAGAGCACATCTTCTTGTGATCAATAAGTCAAACTCTGTTTCAAAATATAAGCTGGACCCTTTCCTGGTGTAAATCTGGGTACGTGCTGCTGTCCACAAGGCCATATTACTTCACATGTACTGAGGACCAGTTGCATCGCACACAAGATTGCAAAAGAAATGCAGATTTGTAGACAATATATTAGACTAAGTGATAAATAATTTATAATGGTGGAGAAGATGACTGTATTTTTAGGCATAGAAATATGCAGATATAACAGTCCTGACTTTCAGTCTTCACCCTGCACTTCTGACCTTGAAGTTTGGGTCCATCCAATGCATTTCTAAAGTCTCTGCACATGTGAACATGCAACACACACACCCTAAAGCCCCAAAACCCGTAAACCAAAAAGGGCACTGATAAAACACATTGAGCCCACGCGGTACCACCTGTAGCACTACATGCTATGCCCTAGCATGAGGCCAACTGGGCTCCTTTGGGCAACAGCCACCTTCCAATGAATCACAAACATCCTTCAGACCAGTCTCTTCTTGATTCCGTCTGCTGACCCCATTCCTAACCCCATGTCTAAGTGACAGCCCTTTGATTATGCCTGTGGGTCAGAGGCACATGCCCATGGGGCTAAAAACCCCCTCCAAAGACCACACTTGTATTTCTGAAATCAGCATCTCGTTATCCTAAAGCAGCCTGGGAGCAAGGAGAAGGAGGAAGAAAGGTTCTCCCTGGGGTGCTCTCAATCGCACCATCCTTGAGATCTCCCCCCTGAGAGGGCTGCCAAGGGGAGAGGAGGGGAGGCAGAATTATTCCCCTTGGACTTTGTAAAAACAAGGAGCCCAGGGAAATCAAGAAACAACCAGAGCTTCCACACCAAATTAGCTCTAGCTAAGCCTAACAAGCAGGATGAGGACGCAGTGAGGAGAAGACCAGGGTAGGTGATGTTGCAAGGAAAAGGCTAGGCAGCAGAGAAGGCAATTTGGTGTGTTGCAGGACAAGAGAAGCTTTCAGCTCCTGCTATTAGGAATAAATCAAGAGAGATGAAGAGAAGCACAGAGCCTGTCTGGTCTCCCGAGGTTTTCACCCTCCCACTCAAGGTGGGACAGAGCTCACCTGGACAGCGCAGCTCCCAGGACGAAGGCAGCATGCTCCTTCAGTGTGGCCTCGGTGCTGTTCAGCCCATCGATCACAAGCTGGAGTCCACCCATGGAGAGGAAGTCCTTAGCATTGTCCACCTGGGAGAAAGCAGGTCCCCATCAGTACAAAACCCCCAGCCAGATTCCACTCAACAACTCTTCAAGCACACCTTGCTTCAGAAAGCACAGCATCTCCTCCCTCCCAGTCTAACCAGCACCGAATTTTAAAAGCAATTAAAAATTAAGAGGGAATAACTGTGGCTCAAATTGTGTACAATACTGCCTGCGAGCAGTGGATGTCCTGGTTGCAGAAGCAGTCTACTGACACGTGGCTATTACTACATGCAGAAGGCATCACTGAAAACTCATATACTTTGATTAGCTATCAAAACTATTCTTCATGCATATTTCAGTAATTCAGGTGATGTTAAAAATTCGGTAAATCCAATGATGTAAAAAAACCCAGTTCTTTGCTCTCTCACCTAAGCAGGCCTTTACTGGAAACCCAGGGAATTGTATGTTCTGCAAATGCAATTAATTAATTGATGCTCTAATTGTAGCACCAGGAGTTAGGAACGTTTAAGAACCTGTCAGCAGCAGGTACATGGGCAGCATCACCTCTACTCGCAGTAAGGCACATGGGGAGGTCTGGGTATTCTTCATGAGTACCGTCAACAATTTCATGCAGACATGAAAAAAAAAAAAAGCCAGTCCCTGCTTGGAAGGGTCAGACAGGACCTTCCCCTTGGGGCAGCCTGAGCAATGATTTTTCTAAAGCGGACAATATTGGACTAACTGCCAGTAGGGAAAAGTTTAAACATTAGTAGGGATTCATCCATCTTTGACTTTAACCAGACTTGGGGCTAACCAGGCACAAATCACAGTGGGCATCTGTTCTTGGAGAGGAGATTAGAAAAGGGCTCTGAGTGGCTCACAAGCAAAATTTAGAGAAACAGTGCAAAGTGCTTCAAGTACAAAATTCGGTCCAAAGTCAAATTAATGCATTTTGGTTTTCAAGGATTTTTTTTGCAGTTTAAAAGAGAATCTGATGAATGCTCAGAACTGTGTGTGCAAAAAAATTCAGTTTTAGAATTTCAACATTTCTCCTCCCTGAAAGACAGGGAGACAACAGTATCTGTTGGCAGATGGAAATAGAACATAAAAACGAGTTATCAGCCAGGCAAACCGACCTCCCCAGCTTTAGCAAGCAGACCCCACCAATGGGGTGGGACAGGACAAACACCGCAAGGTATGCAGGGTATGTCAGGCTCAGGCACCGTGCTCCAGCCTGAATGCTCTTTTAGTCGACAGTGACTTCATGCTCAGTGTTATTTTTATCTCAACTGTGTACCTCCACCAAAATTGGCCATAAGTCAGATATTTTAGGTACCCAGGAGAATGAAGAAGCTACTTAGCTTTATGTCCCACGGGTATGTCTTTACTAAAGTAGGATCTGGGGAGCTACAGCTTGTCTCTTCTCCCCAGCGGGACAATACCCACTGCTTGCTGTCCCTCTGCAAAGCCGGTGACAGAAAGCCGATCTCTGCAGGTCTGCTGGGGCTGATTCAGGATTTGCAGCAGCTTTTGTATCCTTTCAGATCCTATTCTCTTCACTGTCCCCATAAACTGGACCTGCCAGACCTCTTACTTTTCTGCAGGACCATCTTTGTCTACAAAGAAATCTATGCAGCAACCCAATTTCAGCTACCAGTGGGTCCTTTTATTGCTCAGCCTCTGTAAAAACTCTGAGGCTGTTTTAACGCTGGAATTGGACATTGACTTCTGCTCAAGAGGGAATGCATAGACAGGCAGGAGTTTGCATCCAGCGTCAGTCGTGGTAAAACCAACCATCGTTGTAACCTCATCAGCACCGGAGTCCTTCAGGCCAGCACTAAGCGAGACACCTCAACCGCAGAATACAGATTGTGCTGTAAAGCTTATTTTGAACAAGTATTTATTTTTTTTAACTGGAGTCTGTTGTGAGAGCTCCTTCTCTCACTCACTGTTTTAAAACCAACAAAACCCCCAAACTCAACAACTTGAAGGTATTAACCTCTCTGGGGAGTGGAGGATGCTGCGAGGCAGCAGCTCGCGCCTTGTTTCAGTCCACTGAAATCGGCACAGAAGAAAGCCAAAGATCAAAAGAGCTCTTGAGTAAAGTACACAGGCAAGGTGGGCGAGGAGAGGGATGGGAGAAGAGCAAATATGACAGCAGTTATTCAGGGAGCGGCTTTGAATCGAAGGAGAAAGAAAACAGGGAGGGAAGGCGAGAAGAGAAAATGTTAGAAAACGAGAGCAAGGAAAAGCAGCATGTCAACCGTACGCAACGGAGTGGAAATTAGCAGTGAGAAATGGTGTAGCATGTCAGAGGAGGGGAGAGAGAAAGATAAGGAGAGTAAATAATTGAGAGAAAGAGCCTGCAACGCATGAGAACGGGTCTTGGCTCCGCACACTGCTGTGCAAGCACCGTGAATTCTGTTTATAAATGAGTTATGCTCTGGCCTCTTCACATTTGCATTTGGTTTCTATGCATTACAGATAACCTAGCAAGCCAGACCTTCCTGCTCTTTCTCCAAGATGGGCTCCCAAACATGCCAAGTTGAATCCTGACTGATGAGAAGCAAACCAGAGCTGGCAACAAAAAGCTGAGCAAACACAGAGCCCTTGGGCTGACTCTTCAAGAGCAGGAGAGAGCATCTCTCCCCCGGCTCAGCACCAGCCATGGCTTCCCTTCCGCTCCCTCGCAGCAAGTTCGGAGGCACGTGCTGCTTCACATCCCAGCGCTCCAGGATGCTCATGACCACGCCACAGAGCGGAGAGCATCCTTTGCTTGCAAACCCTACAGGGCATGGTATTTTCCATTCGACAGAGCATTTGGTGCCCCGGAGGCAGCAGCAGGATGTCTGGAAGCTGAATGATTATCAAAAGCCATGGCACGTTACCATTCAGATGGAGTCTGGGGGAAGAGGGAGTAGCAGAGCCATCACTGGTCCCACATGTGGGTGCACGCTGCCCCGGGCCACCCACACCTGCAAGGATCCCTATCCTCCAGTGGCACTGCTGTGGCTCGCCACGGAGGACTCCTGACAAGTTCAGCCCTTGCAGGGTTATGCGGCACAAGCGTATTTGGCTGCTATTCAGTAATTACATTAAGCCAGTGCTGCTAAAGTCAGTACCAAGCAGAGATAATGCTCTGGACGCATTCAACTGGCTGGAAGAAGAAAGAGGAGGAAAAGCCATGCTGGCTTAGAGACAAGTCATATTTCTTATCAGCTTCCTGCCTGATGAGAAGGTGCTGCCCAGCCATCTGCCCCGACAGCGCGGGCACAGAGCAACGTTGTGATCGATGCACAAAGGAGTCCTCTGTGCTCCCTGCCAGCCTCCCTGCCATTTCCCTCTTTCTGACCCCTTTGATGCTGGATGTGGTTCCCTTTGATGCTCCAGTCCCCGCACAGGGAGCGGGGATTGCTTCCTTGCTCCTCTCGCCTTTTTGAAATTGTTTGCCCTATCCCATGCTGCAAGCAGGTGGGATTTTATGCTGGAATAGTCCAGACTGTTATGCTGGAATCCAAAGCATCCCAAGGTGTTTGGGGGTTGCTTTTTAGCATGCTGGCCTGATACTCTGGCACCCATAACCAGACAGAATTAGCCCTGAGTATAAATATGAAGCTCTTTGGGCACCCATTGTTCACACTTATTCTCTGAGTCAGACAAATGCCGTCAGTGAAACAAAAGCATTGAGAACAAACAGCAAGGAAGCCTCTGCATGCGTATGACAGAGATTTAGTGTGGAAATTCAAGACAAAGAGCCCTGGAAATAACACTTCTATTAGATGGTACATGGATTCACTCTCTCAGCAGCACATTCCTTCAGCTACCTCCCTCCAAAATACCATGTTTGGTTTTAAGTGCCATTCCAGTGAAAGGTCTTGCACTGGCATCTCCCAAGAGTTGTCCCATTCACCCTCTGAAATGATAGTCACTGAGAGCGACACTGGAAACTCTCCCAGTCCACTCCAGACTCTCCCAGCCACTGGGGAGGGAGAAGCCCAGTCCTTTCCCATGAGGCAGAACACAGCCTTGATGCCCAGACACCCACCGAAGCAGCTGCAGCATGGGAAGGCACTAAGCACAAAGGAGGAGAGCAGCGTCCCTGCAGCCTACAACCAACAGGAGGTAAAAATGTGCAAGCTGAAAGGAGAGCAAGAGAGATCAGAGGGAGGGGGGAAAAAGTGTGAGCATAAACCTGAGGAAGTGAGATTTCAGGAAATATATTCAACCTCACACAGAGCTGATGAGCATGGCTCAGCTGATGCTCAGCAACTTGCCATTCACCTGAGCCTTCAGTCATTGTCACCACCAGCACAGCTGTGAGAGAGGCTCTACATGCCATTTCTTACTCACACCAAGACAAAATACAGGGGTTTGGGTGGCTGTTGTCTTCCCTAGTACAAAGACATTCTCTGCAAATTGATGCAAGGGCACCTACCTGCAACCACAGAGGCTTTCCATGGAAGGAACGAGAAAATAATTATTTTTCTTAGCAACCACCACTCTACTTACCAAAAAATGGCAGATAAAAACCCCTTTTTGTAACATTAAGCATATAAAAGAAGAAAAAGAGAGGGCAAGAAAAAAAGCCTGAGAACAGACAACAAACCAGGCAATGCTAACCCCCAGGAAACTGCTCGCTACTGGCACAAGCAATGATTTATTCAAACTTGGATATAAAATAAGCCTGCAGTAGCCCTCTGCCGTCTGTTATTGTCCCAGGATTATGATAATTAAGCAATTTGTATTACCTGATACTGATAAGAAAAATAAAACCACGTTTATGACACCGTATCCCCTGGATTTTACACGGTAGTTACTAATGCATTTTTGTTACCTGGTGAACATAATATTCAAGATCATAAAGCGCCGCTACTTTTTCATCCAGCGTGGAGGCAGAGCTGTTGAATTTGCTGATTAATTTAACCATAATTTCATAGTCTGTTTCCATCTTCATGTTCAGCTTTTCAAACTCCTCCTTCAGCTGCTCTATGGGCCGAAACTTCTTCCTCACCTCTTCCTCATGGGCCTTGAAAGCAGAAGGAGGAAATCAGATACAAAGGCAGGTGATAAAGAGAGCCAAGAAAGACATAGAAAGAAACCCCAGTCTCAGATTTACAAGGGGAACCCTGGCTGTCTATGCAAATGGATTTACCACTGTGCATCAGAGATGCAGGGGCAGCATTGGAGGGTCCTTCTGAGAAGCCCAGGAACCCGTTATCTGTAAGATACCCACCTTGGGTACCAGTAAGCACTCCCCAAGGAGCTGAGCTTGTACCTCGGGCTTTGTACACCATTTCTACGTCCTATGTGCCTTCCAAAACACCATCAAGCCCAGAGGCAGGTAGCACTGCTGTCCTCCGTTTGCCTGCAAGTGGAAGTTCTCAAGGCCTGACTGCAAGAAGTCCCGAGCAACCTCCCCAAATCTCACAGCTGACCCTGCTTGGAGCTGGAGATGGGGCTGGAGACCTCCTGAGGTCCTGTCCAGCCTGAACTGCCCAGTGACTCCAGGCCAGTGACATCAAGGAGATCTCCTTGGACATGTAGGAAGATGCTTTCATCATCCCAATCACTTAACATGTTTCAGGATGGCTTTATCTCTCGGGGAAATGTATGCACTCACTGTTGGGGACAGAAGCTGTCAGAAAGCAAAGCGGGAGGACCAGCTATAAGATGGGGGTAGCTGAAGTGCTGTGCCATGGGGCTTGGCCAGGAGATAGCTCGTCCCACAGCACGGACGGTCTTCCTCATACAAACAGCACCCCAAGGGCTGCAATGAACCAAGAGCTGCGGAAAAGCATGTGGTGAGAAGGAAAAGGTTCTGCCAGAGATCTGAGAAAGCCCCAGAGCCAGCAGGGACCCATTCTCCAGCATCAGCACTGGTGGCACTGGGACAGGCAGGGACAGAGCCTGCTGCTGCAGGGGACGGCGGCTGTGCTGAAGATGGGCTGCCCCAAAAGCAGGAGAAAGCAAGAAAGCCCCTTTTGAAAGGGATTCTGTCATGAACACAAATACCAAAACACATTTTTATACAGGAATGACCCCCAACTAGAGGGTTTACATGTGCAGTGCTCCCCCCAGCAAGCACTGCCCCACTCCCCTGCGTGTGAACAGAAGCCGAGGTCTCGAGCCGTTGGAGGAAAAAAAAAAGATCGATCGAAGTGAAAGCACTGTCAACCTAACGGCAGTTGTACAACCGGTGCTAATGACTGCCTAATTACTATAGATACCATGCAGTAACGCAGAACGCCATCCTCATCCCAACCACACAGAACTGCTTTTGCAAGAGCGTAGATGGGAACACGCTTGACGTAACTCAGTTTACTTTGACACAGTTACTTTGAGGATGAATTTGCTCCCTGCAGGAGTGATTTTAAATGGAGTACTTTAGGTCCATTAGATGTAGCTGGTTTTAGCCCAGTTGCTGGGACAATAGCTATTCTAACAGGGTTTTTTAAAATATGGTTTATTTTCACACAATAGAGTGCCACTAATTTTTGCATTTAAATGACACTCATTTCAAGAAGTCCTGCTATCAGTAACGCTGGCTGTTACACAAATAATCTTACAGAAAATGAAATAATGCCCTGGTGCCAGATAGGGGAAAAAAAAAGACTTTATGCGTCTCCAAGACTTTAGAGACTTGACTCCTACCTCAGTTTTCCTTTGACTGAGACAACGTCAAGGCAGCAGGAGGAGCTAGGGCCTAAGGAAATACTGATGAGTGGAAGAGGAAAAAAAAGCCTGTGGTCCACCTGATGAGTCACATATCATCGCACCAGTGTCATGCCAGTGACTGGGGACCAGCTCCAAGCCTGGAGAGGGCTGAAAGCAGCAGTTATATTCAATTTTACTTTGGTTGTGGACTATTTATAACTAAATGGGAAACTTACAGCTTATATAAGGAAATTTCAGCCTATGCTTCACCACAGCCACTTGGTTTTTACTACCCAAGGCATGAGATTGGAAACTTAAACCACAAGATCACTTCTCGATCCAGCTGTGCCAGTGGCAGAGGATGTTATGTCCAGTGACTTGTCACCATCACTGAACGCAGAAAAGAAATGCCTCAGCTACACAACACTTCTTGTACTTACTCACACTTAGGAGTACAGAGAACAGCAAAATAACTTCCTTTACAAACACCATCATGCTGCAATCCAGTCCACTTTGGGGGTCTGGAGACATTTTTGTGAACCAAGCAACAGTCGAACAAATAAATCAAAACAATGGATAAAAATAACAATGGAAAGGAAATCGGCCCGTGGGTGCACACAAGAGTTTGCAAGTTACTTTTCTGCATTATTACTTCAGGTCTAATCACATTGGTATCAGAAAACTTAGGGGAGCAGCATCACATCGGAGAGCTTACTGATCATACCTGCTTTGGGTTCAGGAAAGATCCCATAGCCTCACTTTAGCTTTGGTACACCAAGAACAGCAGCAAGAAATTCAGTGTCTGAATGGCTCATGAGGATGGTTATGTGGACATTGTGTGTCTGGTTTGCTAGTTGAGATCCCACTCACTTGAGTAAAGACCAGAAAACAGCAGCATCTGATGGCTGATCTGTCGTTAAACTGCTGATCCCAGCCCACTCCACCGCTGCAGCCCCTCTCCCTTGACAGCCCACGGGATAATTATTACCAAGAAACACCCTGAACTGTGCAGATATACTTAAGTACTTATAAGCAGCTTGCAACACAAGGCCTTTAAGTTTGAAATGAATAAGACGGACCTGAACAAGAGTTCTCAATTTTTACAGCAAACCCAGGATCAGTACAAGAAGAGGTGAGTTTCCCAGGGAACTATATTACTAACAGGCTAGCAAAGGTATTTTAGGTCCATATTCCCCAGAAGATTAGTCTGCACAATATTTTCCCAAGCAATTACTTTAACGATCATATTTCTGAGGCATGCAATGCAGGGTGTTTGCACCTGTGTAGTGTGCATTGTTTTAGAAACAAGGAACTCCCCTTACCTTTCTTTCTGCCTTTTCATTCTCCTTCATTTTAGCCAACGCTTTTTTCAGCTCCTGGGCCGTGAATGAATTTGAGTCAACATCCACCTTGCCGAGCCTTGCAGAAGAAACAAACCAAAACATTTTATGAGTGAACAATTGTACCTGTAATGTTTTCATTGTGATACACAAGAATGGATAACGTTAGGAGAAAAGGAGTTAAAAGTGCTGGATTTCCATGCATCTCACTTATAACACACAGAAAAACTCCACACTCAAGAAAAGATTAGTCCAAGTGCTACCTTTTGTATGTGGTTTGCAGACACTTTACCCTGACAAAAAAGGCTCTGTAATCTGCATGCCAGCTCAAAATCTCAAATCCTAACACAACAGAAAGAGCTGCTTAATTTATGCCTCTGAATTTCACGTAGCAATATAGAAAAGCAGGAAATGTTTCAGAGGAAAAACAAAAAAGCACCATTGTGCCATTAGATCATTGGTAGGGACTTGCAAGCTTTAACAGGGAGATCTACAGCTGAAGTGCTGATGATCATCACACACACAGTTAGGGCAAGGGTAAATCCAAGCAGAAATTACACAGAAATGCTTAAACCCATGTTGTGTTGCTCTTTACATTGTTCTCATTGGTTCAGGGAACTTATCTGGGCCTTAAACACTCTTGCACAGAAAAAAAGAAAGCCAGCCTTTGAGACATCATGAAACTAAAGAGCTTCTCCATGCTCCGAACAGGAGTAACTAGGGAAGCGAGGGAAGCAGTGGTAAATCCCATGCACTTTAGGAAAGAAAGTTCCCCATAGTAACTAAACCTGTCTTTGTTAGGAGGGTGCCAAGGGCAAAGTCAGCACCAGTGAAACTTTTAAAACAAATTAAAAAATGTAGGTGCAGGGAAGGCTGTGATCTAAGGAGAACGTCAGTAGTAACTGATGTGTAAATGAATGCTGCAATCCTACTGACTGCACCCAGCTGAAAATAATGTTATCTGGCTCAGGTCAACACAAAGCAAGCCCCTCACAACTGCTCTGATGGTTCAAGCTCAGAAAGTAGTTTCAGACCAATTGCTGCAGACATTACTAAGGAATAAATATCGTTCGAAGAAGCCACATTGCAAATTTAGTTTCAGTGTCGTGGCATGAGAAGCCATGAAGGTGTCTCTGAATATACACTCAGGGCACTTCTACTGCCACCCCGAAGGGATCACAAAGGACGGGGCTTAGTTCTCAGCACTGCTGAACTCTTAAACCAGCAATTAAGTCTCAGGAAGAGACAGCAATTGAGTGCATCAGGGAACCCGGCCCCTAATAAAAGACATGAAACCAGCAGCCCACCCACTCCTGGTGCTTTGCATCACTGTACCTTTTTCTTCTTCTCTCTTCTCTTGTGTCACTCCTTCCGTTTTTGCTATCTGGGAGCTTGGCTTCCCTGTCTCCGGTCTGCAGATTTAATCGTACGTGTGACCCTGCAGGAACAGCTTGACCTACAAACAAAGGTCAGATTATTTTAGGGCATGTGCATTATTTCACCTTTGCGCATGAAGGACGAGCTGAAGGCGCACACTCCTACCCAAGAGAGCCTGGCCCTGCACAGTGAACAGGAGTGGGCTATCCACCGCCAACCACTCTCCCCTCCAGCAGCGCCCCTTTGACCCAAGTGCCCACTCAACCTCACGCAGATGCCACCCTGACCCACTGATTGCGTCCCCGGGGAGCTGGGCTGGCTCCATGCCACAGGGAAGGAGCGACCCCGAGCCCAGCAGACCACCGGCTCCCTCCTCCCTCCTGGGCCAGTTCTTAAGAGAGCACTAAAACTCTACATCAGGAGCGGATTTGGAGACTATTTGGAGAAAGGGGAATTGGTTGCTGATTGGGGTAGAGTATAAAATACAGCTGCCAAAGTGAAATCAAAGCATACCGCAGAGTACAGCCAGGTACGCTGAATATCAAGTGTACCGAGGTGAGGCTGTGTTGGTTTGGAAATATTGTATTAAAAGGAATATATGATCACTACTATCCACCAACAAAAACACAAGGAATACATTAAGCTTTGGTTTTAAATGCAGAAAAGAGGAGAAATTCAGACTGTTTTTTCTTGGTCACGATTCACCACGAACACGTCACAACAGCCAGCCATCACACTGGGATGGAGGGATGGCAATAATTGGGTACTTCTTGATGTTGCTTCATCTTCTTTTAATGCAAAAAATCTGTCTGCTTAGGAGAGCGGGGTCACAGCTGAATGAATACAGAGGTCTTAGCTGCACACAGATGGACAAACAGACACACAGCTGCTCATGCTCCTCTCTCTCTTTGTTTCCTTTTACCTAAGAAGATGCCTAGGATAAAATAACACAGCATGCAGGAGACAGGTAGCATCTCCTGCAAAAGGGAAGCGAAGACAAGGATAATTAATTTGTACAATAAATACGTGTTCTCAAAGACAAAATCCTCTAGTCTCGGGAACAACCGGATTGATCCCTCCCTGTTCAAGACCAAAGAGACATTTCACTGATCAAAGGACCTGGTACTTCCTACATAAGACTGGAATGTTTGTCACAATTCAGACAAAAACATTTCAAAGCCTAAAGCCATCCAGCAGGTATAAATGCATTTAGAAAAAACAAAAATCCATTTTGGAGGATTTTCTATTAGAACAGGGTGCATTTCTGATAGGTCTTCTTTCTCTCTACCATATCCTGTCCATAGGAAGTTGCACTGGTTGGATAAGCAAGGGGATAGACATGATTATCTTCCCATCTTAAACTATGCAAGGACAGGCTAGAGGTACCTCCTCCACACTTGTTACACTTTCCACCAACGGACAAAAACCTCCTCCTGCTCCTTTACTTGTGATACGTGGGAGCTTTAATCTATATGTCTAGATAGAGGAGCATCTTCCCACTGGCACTGCGTGCCAAACATACAGATACATGAGGATGTCTTCCTCCTCCACGGGCATGAACACCACTTAGGGGAGAAAGCGAGGGGCGAGCCGGGTCCTTCCCTTCCCAAAGCCAGCGGCTTTCCTTGCCGGGTCACAAGCGCTGGGACAGCCCAGTTTACAACCACAGTACTCGCTGAAGCAACTCCTGAATTGTCAGACACAGGCAGAAATAAATGTCCCCATTAGAAGAGTACAGTATATTCTGGCTGTTGTGATCCCGGTGCATCTGGCCACATCAGTTCACTCGGTTGCCAGGGGAGAGGAACGAGGCTGATGGGCTTTGCTTAAAAGAAACATCAAAAGGGAAAGCAATGGACCAGCCTCCAGAAGGGCTGAGCAACTCCAGTGTGACCGGTCCTCCCAGTTTCTATTTTCAGCAAGCAGTAAATGAAATGCGAACCCCGGCGTGCATGAGCTCACAAACCCAGCACAACTGAATTAAGGAGATTGCAATCAGAAAAGACACAAACCTTTCCTGCTTCTACTTCTTCACACTTTCCTAAACGAGATTTGACTGAGACCATCCAAACCCCAGAGCAGAAATCTCAGCCTTGAGGTATTTAAGCAGTTTTCGTTGCTACAGGGATTTCTTCTCGCCACTGTACACAGCAGCACAGGTTCATGCCACAGCAGGACAAACATACTGCTTTATTAAATAAACCAAGAAAGATGTCTCTGTTTTCAGCAAAAAGACTGGCATAGTCAGTTTAAAATATTCCAGACGTTTGAGACAGGATGAGGTCTTCAGTCTTGTTTAGTTTGGGGTATTTTGAAGTATTATTCATAAAGTGTGTTTGAGGGTGGGTTGACTTGAATAATGTGATTAAAATTGCTGATTTAAATGAGCAAGCTGGAAATCCTGAATTTTAATCATGTTTCAATATGTAGTTTCTAGACACTTCCTTTAAAAATAGTTGATTCTCTTTGATTCCTATAATTTGATACTATTCAACAACTGGGAGCACGCACCGGAGCAATACATATGTAAGCAATTATGCAGCTTCACATGCTGTTAATATAGAATCATATTCTTAATAGCTTTTTTCCTAGAGGAATTAATTTTTTACTTATTGTTTGTATTAAGTTGAATTTGGGAAATGAAACTCAATTAAAAAATATAAAAACAAGTTTATATTTAAGCAATTTTCTGACCTTTTTTCTCCTTGACACCTTAGAAAAATAAAAGACCTTTATCCAAACAGGTATGCATTGCATATATGTGTTACTGAATGAAGCCGAATGGTATCACTTTCCAGAGATCTCCAAATCCTACAGCCGCTAGATATCATCCTGTCCTACTCTCTCACTCCTTATAAACAGAGCGAAGAGTTTCTATTCTAATTGATTTCCCACCTTCAAATCAACTACCCAGTGAGTAGAAATAGCTGCGAAAACCCCTCCGCAAACCTGCAGAAAAGGCTGTAGCTGCTGGAGGAGGAAGCTGGCAAACTCCTTCCCCCACAACTGGTTTGTATTCTTTACTACTTAAAAAATATCCCATACTTGGAATTTTTTAAACCACAACTGAACTGATTTGAATATACGTTACTGCATCAGCTTGGGTTGATGGATCTAAGAGAAAGCCACGGGGTTTAGGCATACCACCCAGTGTCCCCGATGGGGACGTGCCACCCGCCTGCCCCTCAATCACTCAGCTCTTCGCCTCGCAGCCAAAAAGATAGCGTCCAACAGCTAAAATACTTCCAGAGGATAAAAAAACCACTTGCCACTGCACGAATGACAAGGTATTTATTGGGAATAAATGTCAAAGCAAAGTGACAGCATTTATTTTCCAAGCAGGAGACACCAATCCTGTGGCAATGCACTGCTAGGACGGTGCTATTCCCATTCTCAATTTAATCCCTTTATCGGCTGCAGAGACATCAGACAGGCTTTGCTCTCCCACACGAGCTGGAGCACAACTGCTTTGACTTACACTGCTCTCTGGACAAACCATCCCGACGTCTGGGTGCTGCTATGGGTCTGAGCATCCACAGCCTAAAAACACCTGGTCTTTTGGAGGTCCTTCTAGTGCATTAGCATTCATCTTACTTGGACATGTTCTGTCTGTCCTGAAAGTTGCTTAAAGTGATGCCAAGGAAGAATTTAATTTATAGCCCTATTCCTTTAATCTTGGTCAGCCAGATTTTTTCAGACATACTTTTATTTCTTCTTATAATATATTAGACGGAGTAACAGCACCGAAGTCGGCTTCAAGGCAGCAACTTACTCGCAGGGGTTCTGCTGACATTTATAAACTGATGCTATTTCTCTCTTGTGTTTTATGTTATCAGCTAAACCTGTCGACTTAAATTATTGCCTTGTAACCAAATCACAGTTATCTGTTATTCTGTTATGTGTACATTTCTGAAGCTCTATACCTATATCAAGCTTTGCAGAGCTTGAAAACAAGACGATAAATAAATAAACAAATGGAAAACAGAACACGCTTCCACCACGCTCACAACTAAGGCAAGAATCAGGCACGTTATATACAGGATAACTAAAAGCAGAGGGCTGCTGTGCTGCATATGCATCACGTAGTAATACCCAAGTAACCCCATCTCTCTTTTTCTAGACCAAGCAAATGATCAACTGTGTTTCCTCACTAAATGAGAAGGGTCTCATCCTGCCCGGCTCCTTTCCAGCACATTATTCCATTTAGTGCTGGCCACAAGTGGTTTTGCTTTTCTGCATGGGGACAGGGCTGAGCCCCAACTCACTACACAGAAACAGGCAGGCATTAAAAATAACAAGGTAAGTTTTACATCATACATAGACATGCAAATCTCATACCAAGATCATGCAATAACTCACTACGCTCCTGGCAGGGGCATCCCCATGCCCTATACACCCCTTGGGCCCACGAGCTGCCACCCATCGACCTGCTCAGCAAGAGAAGCCCAGGAGGGACATGAGACTCTCCCCCTCCAGAAACACCTTCTGGCATCACTTTGTCCCCTGCAGCAGAGAAATGTCCCCCTGGGAAGGCTTCCGCAAGCGGAAAAAAGGGTGATCCAGCTCACAAAGGCAGATCCCCTGGTTTCTTCCCAAGTGAGTGTCCTTGGTTGCCATTGCAAAAAAAAAAAAAGTCTATTAACAGTGTGAAAACAAACCACAGTTATGAGTCAGTAACTAGCTCTGCAGTTCTCAGAATCACCTTGGTATCTGAGCAAGCGTCAGATAATATCTACCTTTCTTTTTGTTTCTCTCGGCGCAGGGGAGTGAGGGGAAAGGGACTTTCTTTCTAATACAGGCAAGAAAAGAATCCATGAATCAATACGTGAATGTTCCCAGCAAAACAAACCAGCAGTGCTGCGATATTAAAAACAATAAAGCTGTGCTAGATTGACAGAGCATCCGCAAAAAGTTATCTGATGGCACCGTACCTCCACAAAAAGTTATCTGATGGCACCATACCTACTCCTTTAATAAAGTAATGATTAAAAAAAATACACAAGGAGACAAATCCCAGGAAACAGCAGAGCTCCCCTCTGCCGTATCGCTGGCATTGCTTGCTCATGCTGCCTGCTCCTG